ATACCGTATACAGCTATGTATAATTACTGGTAATTATATGATCATCGGTGGTTCAATCGGACTAATAGCACTCAACGTGTAGGGATTGAGGGAGGAAACTTTCCACAGCATTCCACAGTCTAACGCCGAAGAAAGAGAGATGGGTACTTTGCCCCACAGCTCCCCCCAGATGACCACCTAATGGCTGTCGTTCAAGTTCTTGAAATGCTATAGCATGCAATTTTTTAGACAGCAAATCGTTCGAATAGTATGATATATACGCACACTGGACGCTGAAAACAAGCCTATGCGCCATGACACGTCTTTTTGCGTGTATTTGCTACGTGCAAAAAAATCATCAAAATGAGTCACATTTTTACAGTTTTCATTTTACTTACATTACTAATTCTTTTATTCTCGACACCCCCCCCCCAAAAAAAATACTCACACACACACACACACACACACACATTGCAATGGCAAAGCCAATTGTTGAGTAAAATTTTTAAAATATCCCTATTGACTTTTTGTATAGTATATGATCGATATAAACCGGTTGGGTTCAGGAACCTTAACAAAATAAATTATGCCGACCCAAGAGTTCATTAATCCCAATGCCAGTGAAAGGACTGTGAATCAAGATACATTCCAACGGGCTAGGAAGCTGAAAGACAGTCACTGAAACGGAAAATCGGGCAACTCTTTTTATAGAGAATCCCATCACAGTGTTTCACCAGTGTGAACGGCTCAGTAAAGTAAATAACTGCGACATACATTTATCTAGTCAAACAACACAAGTTGCGTATGCTTGCGAGAGTGACGCATTTTCATCAATGGAATCTGAAGAGATTATTGACATTAAGTGAAGGACGGGAATATTATTAAGAGATACATTTGGCGGAGAAGGAAGATCATCTTTTAGAATCCATAAGCCTCTCGTATTAATTTCACGTAATCAATACATAATCTGACAAAGGAAATTATCTGGTTCTAACTTCTTCATTAAATTGAAAATTTCCAATGTATAAACTACATTACGTTCGGAAATTAATATATCAAATCAACTAAGAATTTTGCGACTTGTCAGATAATTAATAGGGAACAGTATTTTATTTATGCAACAAAATATTGCGAGTTTAGCCTTCTTGAAATTTAGAACTACTACGTATCCAAATCAAACTTAACAACTGACCAATCAAAAAACAGGGCCAAGAACACGCGCCTGTCCTGTAAACACACGTGTTGTCCCACGAACTCCACGTGTGTGCGTATGCTTTTATTGTACACGTCGTTTGTGCAACCTTAGCAAAAATATCCAAGAAGCGGGGTTGGCAGAAAGACCAATTAAAGTTATATCCATAGCCTACCTATGTAATACTCTTCTCAGTCATTGACCGTCAATTTGTATATATTTTTTTTTATACCAGAATATTTTGACTGTGTCACAAGGCGATTTCCGTAAATGTTTGTCTGCATTAAAATTGTATGCTTATACCTTCGGAGTCAATTTGTCATCTTAAGATTTTAAGTATGTACTCGATTTATTTTGATGAAAAATTACCCGACCCAATAGAATATTGCCAGTGACTATTTTGAGATCGTGATCAAATTAGCTATTTCGAGACGAATGCATTACTGGCCTTCGGTTGCAAACATTATGTCAATATTCAGTCAGGATATGACGTAAATTATAAGTGGAATATATTTGTAGTTTTTGAAAGTTTGATAGTTTTAATTCGTTGTCCGTTTATAAGAGAACATCCATAAAGCACGTTATATGTGTTGTATATAGGCTTAATAATCTTTTTCCTATTATAAATTACATCACATTAAAAATTACTATGATGTAATGGTCCATGAGGGTAAAACAACTGCGTTTGATTTTTGAGTTAAAACTCCTATTATATGTGATTGTTTTATTCTCATATTTACAGATTTTGTCCATACTATTGGGTTTTTATGTAATTATACTTCCTCCTACCCGTTCAACTGTTTGTAGTAGTCGTTTTCCGTTCGCTGGCGAGAATGCAGGATTTGGCGACGGGGTGCGTGAGAGTCGGAAACGCACTCTCATGCCGCTACTAGGCCTATGTTCATAGGCCCCTATCAACAGTACAAGAATTATTGTTTTTAATGCAATTTAGGGGGCTGCGATCGCACCGTCTGCATTCCCCCAGTATCCGCCCCAGGGTCGTATCCAACGAATTCAACTCCGCTCCCTGTGAGCGCTAAACGACGCGACGCCATGTGCTTATTATTGTCGGTGGCAGCCTGGAGAATCGCGTCGGCCGACGACCGTCGGACGCGGTGACTGGACGGCTTTACGGTACAATATTTTATATTATTTCATGTTGACCGCAATTTCGCTAAAGCTGGTCTGGATCAAAATGAAGGTACTGTATAAGCAAATGTTTTTGACCTTTGTTTCAACTTTTACTATCTACCAATCACAATGGGATGGCTCTGAGTCAGTACTCGAGGCAAATTATCCAATTACAGCTTATGGTCTTTAGACCCCTTCTAAATATGTCTATTTTCTAGTATTCTCTGATATTTCGGTTAAACATAAACTTTCGTTTTCCAGTATCTCGACTGACGAAACATGACTCATGCATCTAATGTCAGTATTGATATTAATAATAATAACATTATTATCAAAATCATATATACTGTACTATTAAAATAATATTAAGAAAATTCAAAGTAATTTATTTTTCTCTGATAGGCAAATACAAAGAAACTTCTTACAAGGTGATAATGTATACGCGTTGCGTATAGAGCAGTTAAAATTATAGAAATGGAAACTGCAAAATAAAGCTAATTCTTAACTGCCTAGTGTGGAAATTCAATGGAAATTTCCGGATTGCCAATCAAACTTGACAACTGACTAATCAGAAAAGTGCCCGAAATACGCATGTGTCCAGCAAACACACTTTGTGTTGCCAACAAAAGCACGTGTTTACGTACATTTACGTTGTCTTAGCAACAATATCCAAAAGGCGGGACTGAGCTTCAAGGTCCATTACTTTTCGCATCTGATTTTGGTATTGGTATTAATATTTTAAAGTAATCGTAAAAAAAATATATATCACAAAATACTAAGATAAATCACCATCAAAACAAAAATATCAACAATAATTATAATAATAATCATAACGATACTAATAATATTGATAACCATAATACTTACTACTTGTCATTAATATAGTTTTCATTTGTTTTATTTAATTTACATTTCGAAGAAAGAGTTGTTGAAAATAAAGTTTGTAAATACTGTGTTAGAGCTGGCCAGAACCCGACGATTTATGCAGACAAATTGTGAAATTTCCTCTGAGATTGAATAGAGAGCAAATGCCCATCGAACAGAACTGTATGACCTCAACGACCAATGTGACTCACTAATCTAATGTAATCATTTCAGATAAATATACTTCAAATCGAAAGTGAGTCTTTAAAACGAAATTTGGGTCTTTACTTAACATATGATGGTTCAAAGACACCCAAAAAGCGTGTGATTAATTTGGAAATTCGTGAATTGATGTATCATATACAATAACAATCACTTAAGATTAATTGTGAACAATGTTGGTCTATGCCAGTACAGATAGTCTTGACACTATAAAAAGTAATTTTATTTTGTATAATTAATTACTTTTGAAGGCTATTTTTTTTTTTTTTTAAAGAAAATTGTTCTTCTTTTCTTCCTCTGGATTTTTTTTTAACTCGGGGTGACAGAGTCGTCAGTTGCCTTGATCAGTTTTTATTTATGGAAGTTTACCAACCAAGCCTAGGTTGAGTTATTAAACATATCACGGTGGAATTTCAGCAAACCAGCCACGAATCCTCGCAGGGCTTCCGCTTTTAACAAGCAAGCAGACTTTACATGCTTTTACACTTCTTCGAAAGAATGTCATCTTCCTGTAACTGTATAGTGTTTAAACTCCTTGTTCTGAAGATTATGCTTGTTTATCCATCTAGAACCTCTCCCGGGTGCTTGTCTAATATACTGCTTCAAATCATGTGACGTCTAACCATTCTGCGCGTTCCAACTAATCTCTTCACGTCTTCAATTAGGCTTATTTGTTTCTCTAAGATTTGTATAAAAATAATAATAATAAATATCACATAAGAAAATTGGTTCACCGGTCACCGTGTGCTATGCATCTATTACATTTTTTTTTGTCCACGGGTTGCCAAGTTTATTTGCTATCCAGCTCATGTGTTAACAAAGTACACATCGAAACTAAAAAGCTAGTGTTAAAATTTAACATATTATTCGATTATGTGTCGGGAGCACTTGCTTATTACAAGCTAATAACATGTCTCAAAGACCCTCTAAAGTAATTGAACAAATCTGATAATCCTAAATATATTGTCGTATAATGTTTTAAAATGGCTTATAGAATGTATATTCATGCCAAGTTTAGAAACTCACATGGTGATTTCTTGGCAGAGGTAATTAATTCAAAGAGAGTTGAATATCCTAAAAATATGGCTTTTTTTTTGTCCGTGAAATGAACCGATTAACATGTTTATATGCGTACATAATAAGAATATTGGATCTTCCCATCTAAATTTTTTGGACCTCACCTTTCAACCACATGCGAAGTTATTGAAAACAAACATTTATGATGATGTTATCTTCAGAGAGAAAACGATCAGCGGGTTACGCTTCTTAACCTGTAATCCAACATCAGATAAATCGTATCCACAGAGTAATAAAACCGTCTCTAGGGCTATGAGTATATAATGAATTAACATAGAACGCTTGTTAGATTTTAACATTCGTTGGATCAGCTGGGGCCTAATTAAAACATTCAGGCTTTGTAGGCTTTATACTCCCTCCTTTCAAGCTTGATGTAGTAACCAAAACCAAAGAACTTAAATAGCAGAAGAATGAGCTGCTTCGCGTATTTGTATTAAAATTGATGGAACATCCGCCCTCCCGCGAATGGGGTAAAATTTGACCACTTTACTAAGTGGAGAAACTACAGGAAACAAACGAACCAGAGCGGCGCCTTTATTATTACTATATAGCGCCGCCGCGCGGACGGGGTAAAATTGCTCTCCGTGTACCCACAATGCCTTTCGAACGGATGTTCCACTATATTGGGAAGCTGCTCTATCTTCTGCTATTTATTATCTTTGCCAAAACACAAAACGATGGTACAATATTGTGGTTTGGTCATGTCAGAAAATAACGTTAACAAGACGTTATTAGTTGGAAATTACTCTATAATTCAGTAATTTTGGTTATGTAAACGTTGTTATAACGAATTAATATTAAATGCAAAAATGTTAGTTAGGTAAACATTTGTATTCCATATCTGATTCGATGTTTTAGGCCTCAATAACTAGGCCTATTTAAACGTTGATGTGAGAGGGTGATGGTGTAGCCAAATGGTTGTTGTACTGGGCTTTGCCTATGTCCTCGTGCAAGACCTTTTAGGCTCTCTAATCCACTTGTCATTCGAATGGGACGTTAAGCCCTTTTGGCATTACACTGACATTGGCAATGGTTATGTTCACAAAAATAACTATTTGGGGATTATCTCAAGGTATACAATCATGAGCAACTCATTTCCTGTAATGTTTGCATGTATTTAGGCCTGTGCCATATGTTGTTTCGACATAATTAGCAACATATCTAATAGCTAGTTTTTGTTAAACGTTCTCAGCTAAAACAATTATGTTAGGCGTAACGAATGTGTTGTGCGTTTCGCTAATCGTAGTCCGGATATAGCAACGTAAGTGATTCATCACGTGCGTTTTTAAAGGCCCTTTTGCATGGATTTACCACAACGCACCACAAAACAGATGAATCGCTCCAAGGAGCGGTTAAAATAAGCGTATGCGTTTAAGGAGACGCAACGCAACGTAACGGCACTAATGTAGTCACTCTCGTTTTAAAACAGGCCTATTATCGATTAAAACGCACCGCACCGCAAACGGAGCCACAATCGCAACCGGAAAAATGGATTTCTAGCCTTCGTCATGTCTTATAATCCTACGATGTGTTCAAGATTAAACAGATAATGCAAATGATATGCAAATTAAGAGATTTCATGGATTTAGTCTTGCAAGTTTTTTTTTAAATATTACAATTATGTTCAATTAATTTGTGTTTACAGACACCAGGTGTTCAGTGGTTCTCAATGTACTGTCATCTATTATAACGATTACTGATGACGTAATTGAGCCGTAACCATTGTCATATAAGAATTGAAGTCAGGACCTACCTGTGCGGAGGTGAAGCGACGCACGCGATCCTTTTCTTTTATATGCCATCAACACGTCGCGAAGAACATAAACGAAAGGAGTGGGAAATGTATTATTGACATAAATTTCATGAAGTAACACTAACAGTACAAAACTCAAAATTTTACTTTTCAATTCTATTATTTATTTTCTTCTGAAATAATATTCCCCTCGCCTCCAATTTAAAAAATTTTTGGATAGGAAGAATTTTAATGCCAAATAAACGAAACTGACGTCTGTTCGAGCCTAAAGCAAAATGATTAATTTATAATCTTGTACGCATGGTGTTTTGGCAGGAAAAGACCAATAATGAAGGATAATACCTAATGTAATACCTCGAAGTATGCCCCCACTTATAAAGTATCTCGTTGTTATCCATCAATCCTTTAGGTACCAAATCAGATAAAAATATACATCAGAGCATAGCGAACTAATTGTTTCACGTCATGTTACAAATGTCATGTTTAAAATAGATTTTATTACAAAAACTACTGCTGAAATCGACTGACCTGTAGCTGATTGGATTTGGTTATCATTTAAATAGCCTTAGGATTTTTCAAATTATGTTTATCTAAGGATATTGAAATATCTGTGTTTACGCGTTTCCAAAACCTGATATCAATAATAAAAGGAAATCGTAATTAACTGTTGGAATAATAAACAATTATGGCTTTCCTTAAATCGCAGATAACCAAGATGACCGCATTTATAATAAATATATATATATAAATTATTTTGCACGTGCGTAGTATTTGGATATAATATTGTGTAATATCTATAATATAGGTTTTAAGGACAACTGGAACGTGACCGCTGGTTCCGCAATATAGCTGTTCGTCATGTACTGGTGGTGAATTGGGCTGTACACCGAGAGACACCCCCCCCCCCCCCCCCCCCCCCAAGAATGTACTGTGTTCTTTAAAGTGCATGCACCATATTGCACACGAGACCAACGGCTTAAAGTCTCATCCGAAAGGGTGCGCCAGAAAATTGTATTTCAGCCCTCTAGCTGAAACACAAGGACAGCAGATGGAATTGAATCAAAGAAGATTTTTAAACTTCAGCTTGGAAACAGTGTCTACCAGTTTAGCCGACTGAGGAGCTGTTTTTCCATGCTAAAGTTGATCGCCCCGACAGACGTTGTGTAGTGTCGTCAAAATTGTGCTGGTTCTCGTTCAATTGATGCGAGTAATTTGTTGAGTGAACCTTATAGGCCTAAATCTTATTTTCTAAGAGCGATCGTCTAGAATTTATTAAAACTGTGAACAGGTACATTTTGTGTAATTTGGATTAGATAGATTCTGAAAACGTTTAAAACGATGCTGTAAGACCCTGGCCATTAAACTAATTCTCTTTATGTTCTTTCTTTAAACTAAGTCTCCTTATGTTTAAGCTTGGAAATTATTATAAACCTTTCCACTAAGCCTCGTCCCATGGATTTTGTTGCTAGGGTCTCACAAAACGACAGTAGGGAACTTTCGATTTGTGCGATGACGCGACGCTAGAACGGAGTCACTAATGCGTGACCGTCCTACCTGGCGTCCTACGTTCTCTTCATACGTAGATTTGGTCAAATTGCGTTCCAGAAACTACCTTCGACGAGGTGACCTCGTAGATGACTTAAGTGATGTCATTACGTTCTACGTCCTACCGTTGTCGTGCAATCGAAAGCCCCCTACTGTTAAAAGATACGCAAACATGTGCGTTTGTGGGAAAACACGTGTGCTTGTTAGACACGCGCGCGTATTTCTTGCCCTGTTCTGATTGGCCGGATGTTAAGTTTGATTGACACTCCGGAAATGGTTATTACTGCTAGTTTTACAAGATTTGAACCAAAGATCTTATAAACACAAGATAGCGTTCTCCACGTTTTCCGCGTGCAAATTCTGTAATAACGAAGTGTACGGCGCCCTCTTACAAAAATGAAAACTTCTGAACTTTATCTGCCTTGGCCAAAGCGTACAACGCGCGAATTTACGTTTACGCGTAACAATTAGAAGCGTCCGATTTACAATGTGCTCTCTCTTTATAAACAATAACGTACTTGGTAACACTGATATCTATTATAATAGTAGTAGAGATCAGTGCTTGGTAAGTTTGGCGTATAACGCGAACAACATCTATTGCAACAAATAGGACGCCCTCTCCCAAAAGTGATTACTTTTCTGTGCCAAATCCACGCTTCTTTTTGTTACGCGTAAATCGCGGAGAACGCCATCTTGTGTTTATAAGGTCTTAGATTTGAACCAATGACCTATTAATATTCATCACATTTTTGAGAGCTCTATAAAACTATAGGGGCCTACTTGTTGCACCTTCTGTCGAGTTTTGTGTAACATTTAATGAATTATTAATGAAGTATATCGAGCTGAAACACATTTGTATTTCTTTCACAACCTACGAAAAGTAGGACTGATTCGGTAGTTGCTTGATCGACAATGCGGATGCGCCACTCAAGCCTCATTGCAGGCTTACATAGGGAGTGAAGTTGCAATCAATATACGAATACATTTCATACTTATATACTACTTTACAACCCACTCGACTCATCAACTCCAGTCTTGTGTGGTTAATGAAGTGAGGATGTAGTCGTAAAATGAATACTATTTAGACCTAAGTAAAGTCTTTCCGATTCGATTATATTGCAACTCACTCGACTTCACTATCAACGCGCGTATTCAAACAAACGTGCAGAATGAACATTTACGGAGCCGTTTTCTGAGGGACAACAGCGCTAATATCCAAGAGGAGGGGCTTAGCAAAAAGGTCCATTATACATTATACTTTTTGTCGACCTTAAGGCTTCGATTCCATTTCATTTATTGTATCATTTCGACTTGACGAAATGTTACTACTGCTGAACTTGCGACATGTGATCTTGACAAGTATATGATGTGAAATATATAATAAATATAATTTACAGTATATTTCCTTGCTTCTATTTAAAGCCAATATCCCTATTAGACATAGATATCCATTATTCAATTAGAGGTGCCTGACGTTTTTGGTTAAAAATTTAAAGTGTGCTGCAACAATGCATACAATTGACCTCAACGAAATTGCATTCAGAAGGTTTGGAACAACTTCCTGCGAATTTGAATGCGTAACATGATCGAAAACATTTGCGAAGTAGCTAACCTCGGGTTACCTATACATTTTATAGTATATATATCTTTTCTCACGCTTCTCCAAAACGTATTTACTTTCAATAAATGGAAGGAGTGAGAACCTATTTTCCTATCCCATTTTTCCCCTCTTGTGATAGCCTTTTACTTTTGTTATTCGTAAGCTGCCCTTTGGAAACCGTTAGTAAAACTTAGTTTATTATTTTTGCAGAAAGTAACTTGTCAATAGTTCTGAAAGTGCTGCTTGTTTATTTGTGCTCTATAAATCGACCTATTATTGTTAATATTAATATCTCAAAATGATATGTAAAATAGGTACTGACTTTG